ACCTCACCCCTCTCCCTGACCCTATGGGGGCTTGTGCAGACCCCCAACCCCATCCCTCCCTGACCCCACAGAGGCCGTGCAGCCCCCCAACCTCACCCCTCTCCCTGACCCTATGGGGGCTGTGCAGACCCCCAACCCCATCCCTCCCTGACCCCACAGAGGCTGCGCAGCCCCCCAACCTCACCCCCATCCCTCCCTGTCCACAGGGGCTGTGCAGACCCCCCAACCTCACCCCTCTCCCTGACCCTATGGGGGCTTGTGCAGACCCCCAACCCCATCCCTCCCTGACCCCACAGAGGCCGCGCAGCCCCCCAGCGCAGCCCCAGGGCCGTGCCCCCCAAACCTTGGCCCAGTCGGGGCGCAGCTCCAGCGTGCGGCAGGCATCGGCCAGGGCCCGGCTGTAGTCCCCGAGCCGCGCGTACGCGGCCGAGCGGTTGCTGAACAGGACGTGGTTGTTGGGGTCCCGGGCGATGGCGGCAGAGTAGTGCCCCACGGCCGCCCCCACGTCCCCCGCCGCCAGCGCCCGGTTCCCCCGCTCCTTCAGCTCCTGAGCCTGCGGGGAACCGCCGGAGAGGAAGAGGAGGAGAGGAGGAAGGAGAGGAGGAAAGAGGAAGAGGAGGGGGGTGGGAAAAGGACCAAGGGAAAGGAGGGAGAACGGTAAAAGGCCGGGAGTAGCGAGGAAGATGAGGAGGATGAAGATGACAGCAGATTGAAGGTGTCAGGAAGACGAAGAGGATGAAAGCGAGAGGAAGATGAGGAGGACGAAAGTGCCAGGAGTTTGAAGGTGTCAGGAAGACCAGGAGGATGAAGGCGCGAGGAAGATGAGGATGGAGAAGCGAGGAAGATGAGGAGGATGAAGGCGTGAGGAAGATGAGGAAGGAGGAGCGAGGAAGATGAGGATAACGAAGGTGCGAGGAGGATGAAGAAGCACGGCAGGACAAGCGCCAAGAAGAAGAGCGAGAGCAACAAGAGGGGGCGAGGGAGAAGAGGCGTGAGCAAGGCCGGAAGGATGAAGATGAGGGAGGTGAAGATGAAGGGAAAACGAAGAGGAAGAAGAAGAGGAAGAAGGTGAGGAAGGAGCCGCTCACCGGAGAGCCCAAACCCCTCCAGGCCCTCCCGCGTCCTCAAGGACCCTGAACCCCCCCGGGGTCCCCTCAGCTCCGCCAGGCCCCGCTCGCCACCTCCCCAGGACCCCTCAGGGACCCCCAGACAACGCGAAACCGCTCTGAGCCCCCTCAGGGCCCGCCGTCCCCTCAGAGCCCCCCGACCCCGGCAGGGACCCCCCGATCCCCCTCAGGATCCGCAGAAACCCCGCTCCGCTCCTGCCCCAACCCCGCGGCCCGCCCCGCGAGCCCCCCCGGCCCCTCCGCCTGTCCCCGGGACCCCTCGGGCTCCCCCGTGTCCCCCCCGGGACCCCTCGGGCGCCCCCTCCGCCACCTCCTCCATGGCCGCGGCTCCGCTCCCGCCGCTCCCGCGCCGCCCTCTGGAAGCTGCTAGAACCCCTCGGCCACGCCCCCCGCGCCCCATTGGCCGCGCGCCCCGCCCTCCCGCCCCCGCGCGCGCTCCCATTGGCTGCCTTCCGCGTTCCCGCCTTCCCATTGGCTGCCGAGGGCATCGGGGCACGCCCCCTTCCAGACCCGCGTCCGCCGGAAGCCGGCATCAGGGCCCGGCTCCGCGCGTTCCCATTGGCCGCATCTCCCGGCGCTGGGCGCCCATTGGTTGGGCTCCGCCGTGACTTCTGGAATTTTCCGCTTCTCCCATTGGCTGCGAGCAGCGCTGATCACAGAGGACGGGGCGGAAGGAGGGAGCGGTGGCGATGGGGAGCGCCCCCTGGCGGCGCGGAGGACTCGCTGGGAGGTCTGCGAGGGGCGTGGCTTACGCGGGGAGGCGTGGCTTGCACTAAAGGGGCGTGGCTTGCACGGGGGACCGGAGGCCAGTGGGGGGGGCACGGAGGTGAATCCAGGGGGGTCCCTCTGGGGACTTGGGGGTGTCGAGTGACACAAGTGTGACCTTGACAGGGCCTTGCTGTGACCCCCACCCCTCCCCCAACCCTCACATCCCCCTCCAACCCTCCCCCATCGCTCGTCCTGCTCCGAGGGGTCCCCTGTGTCACCCCCCCGGGACCCCCAGTGACACCCCCACCCCTCCCGTGCCATCCCCCCGATGTCACATCTCCCCCCGCCCCAAATTTTCCACCCCCGGTCCCACGGGAAAGAGGCGCCGGCAGGAAAAGGAGCCGCTGGGTTTATTGGGGGGGGGCGCAGAGGGGGGATTTTGTGTCCCCCTCGGCCCTCTTGGGTCGGTTTTTCCTGATTTTGGTCCTTTTTCCCCAAATCCAACGGCAGGGGCGGGGGGGGGGGGGAAGGCACCTCGCGGGGGGGGGGGGGGGGCCCCAGGGGGGGGGGGGGGGGGGTCCCAAGAGGGGGGAGGGGTCGTGGGTGTCGGGGTCCATCCACCCCCCTCCCTCCCCCCAAATCCCATTCCTGCACCAAATCTGCCGTTTTTCCCCCACCACCACCAAAAAAAGCCGCGGTGCCGAAAAAAAACCACCTTAAAAAAGCCGAAACGCCCCTAAAAGGCTCCCCCGAAATGTCCTCAGAGCCGGGGCTCAGCGCCACAGCCCGGGAGGGCTCCCCAAAACGGGCGTGGGGGGGTCCCAGGAAGAGGCCGCCCCCTCCCCCATCAAGACCCCCCTCCCCCTCCGTGGGGCACCTGCCCCCCCCGGTACCCCCGCACGCCGGGGGGGGGCAGCGGTGGGGGCGGGGGGGGGTACACGG